GCCCCAGCGTAAGCATTTATTCACTGCTCAGTCTTAGGAAAGTGCTGCAGATGCATTTACAGAGAGAGCAACTGCAGCTGAATTAACCAATCTGCATATTCAGGGCCTGTTACCAGGAGATTGTTCCCATGCGATGAAGGAATGGAAGTGCATAAGAGCGGGAGCGGAGGGCCGCACCTGAGCGGGACGCACAACAAGAGCTGTGGAAAGGAGGGAGGAACAGTGCATAGGGGGTGGGTGCAGGAGATTTATCACGACTAACACAATGGAAGGAGGAGCAGGGATGAGTAAGGGGGGTCATGGGGGAAGAACTGGGATTGGAGCAACTGATTTCCTCTACATGAGGCAGGTCTGTTATGTAAGAACAGTCAAATGGATGATTTTTATGTCCTGTTGGTGATAAGCACTTGAGGGGTGGTTGGAGGTGATTCAGGGGGCTTATACTGTATGTGACACTGAGCTTGAGCGGACCATGTGTGATGCTGCTGATGGGTGTATGTGTGATCCCAAATGCTGTGCGGTGGGAATGGCAGATGTTGAGGACGTGTCTTGGGGGTGTGACCCGAGAACAAGGACTATCTATGTGTCCTCGGTTAGGACATCTGGTGGGGTCAGTTAAGGCTCTATGATGACACTGCACGGTGCTTTGTAGCATTTGCTAATTCACAAAAAATTGTGCATTTTGACCCCTAATTAACTAGTTATTGCATGTTTTTGTAACGCTTCTGTTTCTGTCAGCATTTGCGATTTCCTCTTGTCCAGAGTCCTTGCTTGTCAGTGGACAATTTGAGGAAAATAAATTGTGCCTCTGAATTGTTGTACTCTAGTCCCTCATCTACAACAAATCATCTCAAAAGAGAAGACTCAAACTCACATAAATTCCAACAACTCTATTGACTTTTCCACTTGATTTATGATAGGGGGTGCGAGACCTGGGCAGCGGGTCCTGTGTGCAGCTGAGGTTTACTGAAAATGTTGCACTACACCAACATCTCACACACATGCACATTTCCTGTTGTAAAAATACAGCCTCAATCTATTACCGCCACAATAAAAGACCCTCATTACGATGTTGGCTGATTTTCAAGGAGGACTCAAAGTTCATGTTGAGGACCTGAGGGTATGGTCAAGTGAAGGACGCCCAGCAGGATGATGTAATGTTTGTATGAATCAAAATGGTGGCCATGGTGGGCAAGTCAGGCATGAAGAATGGAAGAATGGAAGAGTGAGGAGGCTGCGCCGAGACAACTTAATCAATCACGAGGGTTGTGGACGCGCCGTAGATTACAATGTCCGCTGATTGATTATCATGACATGAGCGCATGCTGGTTTTCTGGAAGCAAATACATTTTACAGGCAGCAAAAATATATGTTGCATTTCCCAGCAAACACCTCAGAGGAAAATGTGATACTAATCATATCCACAGATGAGTCATTGCATTGCTTATTGAAAAGGGTTCGGAATGATTTATTATGATAAGTAAATAATTAATGAAAATGATGACAGTTTTTTCAACATCTGATGGTTTTATTTAGTCCAAATACACTGAGTCTCTCTCCTGAGAGAAACATAGGTTTTAAACTTTTAAGAAACTAGTTCCAGCAACGGTGTGATTATTTTCTAAAATGAAATGGACATCAGTAAGTGATTATCACAAATAGCTGCTGTTTTATTGTCTAAATAATAACCTGCCATTGTGATAATGCTATATTGTGAGCTTTTCCCTTTACTCATTAGGTGTTTACATCAAGTAACATACTCGTTGATAGTATCAGATCATACAAATTCAGGTGAATGACGATCCAGTCCAGATGGACATTGTTGACATTTAATTCTGTCTTTGAAGGAAGTGGATATGTTGATGTCAGGCAACAAGGACAACATCAGCCAATAACAATGCCAATATATCAGTGCACCCCTAGCTTCAAGTACTGTAAGGTTTAACATGTCACATCATGTTAAATGTAAGGTTTTACTTTACTGATTTATATTTCTACATGACAGATAGCAGTGTGTGTTTGTATTTTTTGTGTAGTTAGATGTGTGCGCGCTTGCTGTGTAAGCGGTGCGTCTGTGTGCTTCTTGCAGCCTGCCATGTTTCTGTACATGTAGGATGTGTGTTGATGCCCAGGGAGGCACCATATGCTGTTTAGGCTCAGGAGCATCCCATCACGGCAGACCCGAACAGCCGCAGCTCCTTCATGCGTCTCCCTCCATTAGATCGCGCGTGCATCACCAGCCAACATGGGCCTGCAATCACGCAGATCCACTCTCCTCCTGCTTGTGTTCACGCCATCATGAATAATTCTTCATATAGATTTCTTCTTGCGAGGCTTGACACAGCCAGGTTCAAGACAGATAAAGTGTTCTGCTGAAAGCCTGCAGAGGGCAGAGTTTTACTACTTAAATGCACAGGAACAGAGTGACACATGCTCTCTCTTTTTTTTTTTTTGCACAGCTGACACAATAGAGAAAAAAAGGGGGGTTGGATGTTGGGTTTAGCTTTTACATAGGCACTAATGTTACGATACAAATGATCGCGACAATAAATGAACTGTGCAGCCACAGGAAGTGGTAGAGTTGATTGCTGAAGCCGATGATACAGAATTGTTTAACTCCATGCTTTTTTTAATTTATTGCATTAGGGGGGGACACCTTCAACCATGCACTCTATGCCCTGATTTATCTTTTTCTCATGGGATCTGCCAGTGACTTAACCTGCACTTTAGTAAAAATTATTTTCTAGTAGAAATGAGAAGTGGAGATTTATAGCATGGTCTGGCTTATTTCCGCAGTGCGGTAAATTACACCTGGGTGATTTTTCTCCCTTTTTCTTCCTGTCTCTGTTACCCCTATCAACTGCCCTCCAAAATACCCCTTCGGTCTGGTCCAAAGGGACCATCTGATTACAGTCCACCTAGGCCTCTAATTGCTTTACTATCATCCCGAGCAAGGTTTTTCTCTTTGGAGCAAGCCAAGGATAGACAGCCGCTTATGAATCCAAAATAATTTAAAGTTCTTGATGATGGGGAATAAGAAGCAGCCACCTCATAAATTTAAGTCTTAAGTGATATTTCACATCCTGGGTCACACGGTGTGTAGGTGGTTAGGCCTTAGATCACAGGATTTCAGCAGTTCCTCTTAATGCACGCTGAAAATCAACACATTGGTGCCATTCAGCACTCTGCGGAACCAAAACTGGTCCTCTAAAATCTTTAATTCCCCCTCGAGGAATTCAGCTTCATGGTTAACTTTTGCATTTGCTCAAAGGCAAAACAATTTAGCCCCCCCACCTTACTAGTGAAAAACCTCTCTATCATAACGCGCATCCACATTAACTGATTGGAATTGTTCATCTTTATTAGCATTCATGCTCCCTCCTGGGATAAACATACTTAGGTGATTGCTTCTTTGCCGGTGTACATGATGTCGTTTGATCCAGAGGATTTGGATGCTGTGGTAGACTGTTGTCACATGATCCGCAGGCCGGGGATGTGAGGCCGTTTCATGTCACCTGATATGTCTGAGCTCTCAGCCGTTGGTGGGAAAATGAGACACAGATTATAGGTTCATTTGGGGAATCTTGGAAAATATGTGTTTCCTCCCTCCTGAACATGATTTTAGCTTTTAAAAAGCACGAATCAGTAAATCCAGATTTGTCCTTTCTCAATCACATCCTGAACGTCCATGGTGTCAGATGGTGTTTGTGTCATTCCTTATTTTCCACTAACTCTAGATCAGAATGCTTGCACCAGTTTATTAAACAGGCTACCTGTGTTTAAAGTGGAAATTTAAAAAAGACACTTATGTAATAGAGTATTTTCTGGGATAGCATTTTTGATCCGGTGCAATAATACGGATGGTGCAAAAGTCAAATTCTCCACAGATATACGGTGACAATTTAGCTGCTCCTTTGCAGCAAAAGCACATTTCAAAGCAGCCATTTGGCAATTCATGTGATAATAAAAATAAATAAATTATTAATTGCATTCAAAGGAAGCAAACCACAAAGACAAAAGTGAATCATTAGCTGTGCCTTACATAAAAGCGCAGTACTCAAAAGGTTAAACAGCAAACAGCTGCATGATTATCATCATAAATGCTATCTATATTTGGATGCAGGAACTGAATATTACACTCCAGGTTAAATATATATATTATAACTGATGATGCAATCACAAACTGTAAAATTAGCTTCTAATCCAGGTACCAGCAGCAACATCGTGTCTCCTAGAGCCTTCAGCTGGATTTTACCGCTCTACATGCTTTACAGAGGTCACACTTCATTCATCTATAAAACGCTGTTTGATGGGTGCTTTTCTTACCTGCTGACTTTACAAGATGCCTCCTACTCGTGAGATCACGAATGATGGCGTCTATGTGCCGCGCTTCATAACGTCACGGCCCCCTGAAAACCTTTCTGTCCTGAATTAATGGCTTGGCTGTCACGTCAGTGGGATGCTTTCTCATGCTAGAGGTCAGTGATGCTGACAGAGGACAACACAGAAATCGCAGAAACACAAGCCACTGTACAGTAGCCAGCTCACTCCGTTATGGGATTACACTGATGTACTCCAATTTGTAAAACCAGCCACTGGGTAACAAGATAAGAAACCAAGTTTTGCGTATCATCTTGCAGCTTTGGCAACATGGAGTCATGGAATATCATATATTATTCCACGTAGCTATTGGACAAATGCATTTATTTTCCTCTGCTGCAGTGCTATGTTTAACTTCTGTCATGTCATTTGATAGCTGTGGTCATTAAAGCACATAGATGGCCACGCCAGCCTTTGCTTAGTCGGCTGTTTTCCTGACCTGTACAGCCGAGAGGTGACTCACGTGCCGTCAGGGGCAGTGCACTCTAAAAGCCAGCCTGCTGTGAATTTCTAATTTGCTTTTCCACTCGTGTGATTCGTTCCCACTCTGGTCATACTTTGCTTTGGATCCTGTCTGTGTTTTTAGATGCACTGATGGGGGGGGGGAGACGCTGCATTATTCTGTTGCACGGCGTGTGAAACTCCCTCTGTGCTGTTGAAGTCAGTGATGCAAACACTCTTGTAGCAATAACAGAGGGTACGTCAAGGGCTTCTGCAGAAATACATTAAGAGGCATGAGCTCACATCAAAGCTGCTTCAATTCACAGACGCAGATGGCAAAACAGGACATGCATTACAAGTATGGTTTGATTTTTTCTGCTTACAAACTTTGAACATTGTAATGTGTGACAAGAACTTACAATGATGAGTCTCATCCTCCAGATACACATCACACTCTCAATTACTGCAAAAGTTTTTGCTGTTATCACAATATAAGCACAGAAAAGTTGTAAGTTACAACTGCTGCTCATTACACTTTGCTTTTCCACACGACATCTGTGCCTGCCTTTGTTTATCTAATTCTTATGACCTTGGCCAACACGCATTCTTCCATTCAAGATGCCCCTCACCTCCCCCTTCTCCTTCTGATCCTCCAATGAAATCTGCAGCGATCTCCTTACGTCAGCTACATTGCAGGACCTCTGTGCTCCTCCAGCATTATATTCAGGCCCTATCTTCTCCTGCGTTCATTAGTGCCAGAGGTAGAGGTGACAAGAACGGTCACACATTCTCAAAGTGATAAAATACACAACGGATGGCGCTGCAGGGAATTAGTTACTTGTGGAAACGCTAACAAACTAAAGTGCATGCGATAGAGTCTTAAGAGTGGAGTTTGGTGCAGTGCACAATTTATATTCAGCTGTATATTGATTAAATCTGTATGCCCCCATGGGAAGGAGTATTGAGCATCGTGACTGTAGGCTGGATTTTAATTCTATCCTCTGCATTTTAAATGGCTTTCTGCACCATGTAGTTACAACTTAAGTAACCTACCTCAGCTTTTCCTATAAAAAAAGTTTACGTTTGAGGTTGTTAAAAGTAATAGCTAAATACATTTCTTGGTGACACAGTTTGCATTCAGAGCAACATAAGGAAGGCATCTATTCACACATGTGGAGAAAGGCATGTGGGATAAAGCGTCCTGTCCTTGTCCAGCACTGATGCCTTTAAAGGACACTTAGTGAACCCTACAGATTTGTTAAAGTCAATCTTTTGAATTACTGTTCTGTGTCCGTAACTAATGAATATGTGTTCTAGCTTTGTGTTACATGTTTACAAATGTTGTTTGCTTTAAAAAAAAATCTTGGAGTGTCTTAGTTTTGACACTAGCGAGTACTGCAGCATTTGAATGAGCTGTGTTTTAAAAATACTTTCATTATGTTGGCAAAAAAGCAAAAAATACTATTTTAAAACTACACTTTTAAAAGTATGAATGCAAACACTGCCAATAGCCCTGTCATCCTCACACAAAAATACCTCTCTGTACTTTACCTTTTTGCACAAAATGAGGAAAAGAGGGCAGACAATTTGGTTTAGTGCAAAGCATATTACCTGGAAAAAGGGGGGGGAAAGGGCAGTTTGGTGGTCAAGACAAATATTAACTTCAAAGTTAATAAGCTTTTAGCGAATTGCCGTTCTGGGGGTTATTTATGACTGACTACACACTCACAAGCTTTTTATTGACAACAGAAAATTTGTTAACCTAAATAAAATGAAAATTTACCTGCTTTTTCTAATTTATTTGACCATGCGCTGATCTGCTGCCTAAACTTGTGTTATTATTTAGATTAAAATAATGATAATTTAAAACAACCCAAGCAATAAGTGTCCCCTGTTAGTCAATAAACATGTTCACCTAATGTGAAATTTAAAAGGCTTCTCGCAATCAATGCATTAATTTAAACCAGATTTAGTTTATCTAACGTATAGGCTAATAATAAATTTAAAAAGTGTAATTATAACAAGTTACATGAAAAAACATTAACAATTGTCGACGGTCCACTTCAGGAATATCTAATTACATTGATATTTATTAATCGATGACAAAATAACAGTCGCCTTAATTACTCGGGTCCTAAAACTGGATAATGATATGTTCACCGCAATCTGATAAAGCGTCTTCGGCGTGTTTTCTCCATCTTCAACGACGCGCTGGAATGGCGCTTCGTGTTGCTGGATATCACTGCTGCTGCTCCTGCTGTGGGCAGCCTCTCTGCTCTGCATCCCTGCTCTCCTCCTCCTCCTCTCCCCCCGCGGATAAACCGGAATGGTTTCTTCCAGGCGAACCTGTCACTGTCGCCGCGGCGGAGCAGGCAGCCGAAGTGTGAGCGCAGGGGGGGGGGCAGGCTTCATCCACTGCCTGCCATTGCAGTGCGGCGGCTGCTGCTGCTCTGGAGCCACACCAGAGAGACCCCTTTCCTTTTATGTGAGATTTTAACAAGCACGCCGAGAGGACCATTGCTTTCACGAAGGTGAATGGTTATCTTGATTTTTTCCTCAAGTGCGTTGTTGGGGAGCGTGTTTCTCTTTGCAGCCGTAGGAGTTGACTGGATGTGTCCCCCTGCGGGTACAGGCGAACGATAACGGTGCAAGCCGAGGTAACTTAGCTACCTCACTGCTACCAACTGCATCTGCGCGCTATGCTAAGGGGTTAGCAAGTTGCCACGCTAACGTACCTCCTATTTGAAATGGCCAATAACGAGGTTCATTAACGTATTTTATGTGGGACATGCATAAACGGTCAGAATAAGCTACAGAATGCCTTGCGTTAGAGCTGTCATCGAGCGGACGGGTTATTAAGTGCGTCCAGGTAAGATTAGCTGGGAGTAGCTAGCCTAGCTGCTGGAACAAAATGTCGGCCAGCTAGGGGGCTGATTTGACCAAGAGGGTATAAAAGGGGCACAAGATTTAGTGTCAGGGTGCAGGACGCAAGGAGGGAGTGGTAATATGAAGTCAGCTGCTAGAAATATGGCATGGGTTTTTTTCTTCCTCTTTGTAAATTAACGGGGGAGGTGGTGCGCTGTCTCACCTTGTACTGATGTTCCGTTAGTAAAAAAAAACCAAAAAACGAAGTGGGATTTTTGGGAAAGTTGTTAGGTCCTTAGCTGGGATTAGGTTAGTGGCACTGGACTACCTGCTCGCCTGCCCCGCTGTCGTTACATTTTAAACATGTCATAATAATACCAGCTATGTGTGTGCTTGTGTGTGTGGGGTCTTTGGTGGGGATAAACGACTGTTTGGTATGGCGCATGCAGGCTAACTTTCATTGTTAGTTTCCATACTAACCAATGGACAGCTGCTAACATGAACTGAAGGCACCAGTGTTCACCTGTTTAGTATTGATTGATGTAAGTTTTTTTTTTTTTTGCATGTTATTATCACTTATCTCGTTTTCACATGTGCTGTAACCTATTTAATTTATGTACAGAAGACACTAGCATGTTAGGACGTGTAGAAATAAGAGATAACAATGAAGATGTGAGCTTCAGATTCTGACTTGATGTTATCCGGGATTTTAGTAATCGAAATATCCTGTATCGACTCTAATTTCTTTACCTTATCCTTCCAAAAGCTTCTTAAGGGATTCCTAAGTCAGTTTAGCTGCAGAGGAAAACAATCAACCACCTCTTTCTGGTGGTTCCTTATATCTCACAATCTTGTTTTGAATACAAAAGAAGATTGTGAGATGTCTAAGCGTCACTTCCGGCCAAGATGCCAGGTATTAAATGTGTATGAAGTTCTGTTATGTTTTTTGGAAAAATATAGCAGTGGTCCTGTCATGCATTTCACTTGTGTTGTTTTTGTTAATACAGTCTATGACTTTAGCACTGAATGCTATTTAACAATTGCAATGATTTTTTTACCCTATCACATATATAATTACTGCATATTTTACTGGAAGTTTTGTGATTCATTGACGCACATCTTCATCTTGAACTCCCTTGTGCGTGCGACTAAAATGTGTAAATGCTGGCGACTGGCATTGTGATAGTAACACTAGATGAATCTGCAGCTGGGAAGGAAAATAGATTTGTCAAATGAAGTGGGAGAGTCATACTACAGATGATGTTTGTGGTTACCCTTCAGATGTTTCATTGCACAATCCAGTTTGCGTCTTTCTTTCCCTGCTGAAAAACAGATCAGAACACAGAGCTGTACAGGCAGCGACTCTGGCAAACATGTTACTGTGAAGAAGAAAATATCAACCCAAGGGCAGACATACATGTTGGTTTGTAAATCATGTTGCCCTGAGCTGTCATGAGAGCAACCATCATCTGAGTCATTGCGGTTTTGGAAGGACAAGCGCATCTGATATTTTGCCTACTTAAGTTAAATTTGACTGACTGCAGCTTTGTAATCCTGTGTATTTATAGAAACTGGCTGGAATTAGGGGCTTATCTGTTTGGTGGTGACAACAGACATACTAATGAGACTGAATTACTGTATTTATGCCATGTGTTTATACATGCTGCACCTATAAACCTTGGTTTTGCAGATAGGACTATGCACACAGATTACTTTCTTATAAAGGATATCAAAGTGGATGGCCTCCGTGTAGATGATAAAGAATGTGTTTAAATTAAGGATGCTGGAAAACAATGGCTGAAAATGTTTGATTAGAGCCCAGTCTTGATTGTTGGGTGCTGATACCAATTTACATTTTTAGGCTTATGTATATGCAGACACAAGTCAAAGCTACATTAACAAGGAGAAAACAGAGCCATTGTTTATTAATTTACTGGAAATGTATTGTACAAACTAGATACCTGAAAATGAAGGTAGATGTCTTATCGTAAATTAAGTGTGACTTTTCCAATATTTAAAATGAAAATATGTTTTTAGGCTGTGGCTGAATATACTGGCTTTTACCCCATCCAATTTAGACTGTAGGCACTGGATTCAGTGCCAACCTGCAAATCTGCTGGTGCTGCCGCTGCTAATGTTAGCCACATTTAGCAAATAATATGACAATGCATGTGCAATTTTGTGCACACTGCAATATGCCACACATTTTAATGGCTTTTAAAAGAAACTGAGAAATGTGATTAGGGCTGCAGCTAGTGGTTATTTCAGTAATAATATAATAATAAAATAATAAGAATAAAAAATTCAATTAATCTTTACTCTGTGTTCTTGGAAGGCTTTATGAGTTCCTGTACATGGGTTTCTGTCTGTGGAAGTGAATCAGTGAGTTTGTGTCTGTTAGCCTTTAAAGGAGAATGGGGTGGGTGCAATGAATAGACGCCAGCGTATCAGCACTCTGAAGTTTGCCCTGTGCTTTGATGCAAAGTTTCTGCGCTGCTTAAAACAAGATGTTATGATGGTGTAGACGTTAATTAATATTAACAATAATTCAGTGTCCAACCTAAAATCCCGCACGTCAGTGGCTCAGTTTTACTGGCCCATATACATTTTTATTGGTTTGTGGAAAAAAAAGTTTTTATTTTAGAATATATTAATGCAATTTAATTGAGACAGTATTTTATATTATTTCACTTTGAATCCGAAAAATGTTCCTGAAAAAATCTTGAAATAAATATGGTCTAGTATTGCCATGCCCATTTTCGACTCGCCCATTTTTGTTTCCATGTACAATAGGATGGCTGCCGTCAGCCTTCAGTAAGCTGTATAATTTAAAGGTGCCATCAGACTAAGTTAACAGTTAATCTGCAGATTTTAATAGCTTCTGGAGGCTTACTGCAGACTTTTCGCTGTGTAAAACAAACTGCGGTGGATGGAGCAGCTACAAAGTCTGTTTTTCTTCACGTCTGAGTTTGTTGATCAAGTGCTTTGATGAAGGACTCCCGCTCGTTTATCCCAGTAAAGGTTTTAATAATGATTACGGGAACAGCGCTGCTGTTTGGACGCTAGAAACACGCCGCTTTCTTTCACGTCTCAGTAACGGCTCCGCCTCTTTGCTCTTCGCGGTGTGTAAACAGACTCTGTTTCCATGTTAAAGTCATCATCACTGCTGCTGTTGTCAGTGTTTCTGTTTAAAGCTGGAAGCTGTGTGGACTTAATGTGGTCAGACTTTTTATTCACACGCTAATCCTAAATACGTTTGTATTGCTGGTCTGCAGTGTTGGGAAGGTTACTTTTAAAATGTATTCCATTACAGAATACAGAATACATGCCCCAAAATGTATTCTGTAACATGTTACGTTACTCAATGACAGTAACGTATTTGAATACTTTGGATTACTTAATATATTATCATGCTTTTTGCAACAACGTGAATGTATTATTGCTGTGTGATTTATTACTATTACTGAAGGTCCGCAACTCGGAACTGTAGTAATATGGCGGGGTCCCTGTCGGCTCGTAGCCGAAAAATAGCTTTACTTTGTTGTGTGGGTCAACTTTTCTTGCGAGAGACAGAGAGAGGCGTTGAAAGACTGCTCCAATGGAACTTATTGTTTTCGGAGGAAAACACGAACACGGTGTACAGTCGAGTCTTAATAGCTTACTTACAACTGGGCTCGTCAGGCACTCTTCTTGGCTGAAGTGGTTATTATTATATTTACATGCTTCCAGCTCCCGTTTTTCCTCGATGACAACTCGTACCTTTCCACTCCCCTTTTTCTCCCTCCTCGCGCTCACAGACCCATAACGTGTATGGCAGTCCATTCTCCCTGCAACACGGACTACACTGCCCATGATGCTACATTCTTTAGAGCTATGCTTGTAGCATTCTGCCTGTTAGCTTAGCACAACAACAACAACGAAAAGGCGCTCTCTCACCCAGGAAACACACAGTCGCAGAGAGAGAGAGAGAGCGTCGCCCTGTAACCATGGCAACCGTAACGCTGCCGCCTGGAACAAAGAACGTAGCTGTCAAACAAAACCCAAACAGTCCTGACCCGCGACAAAATGAAACAGGAAAGTACCGCAGTGTAATCCATTTATTTCAACAAAGTAACTGTATTCTGAATACCACCTTTTTAAACGGTAACTGTAACGGAATACAGTTACTCATATTTTGTATTTTAAATACGTAACGGCGGTACATGTATTCCGTTACTCCCCTAACACTGCTGGTCTGTTTTCAGTCGCAAACGTGGGAGAGACGCTCGCTTTCGCGTTTCCATGGTGACATGGCGCTTCAGAGACAAAGCATCGAGAACTTTTTTTTTTTTTATATATATATATATATATAATTTTTTTTATAATCGAATTATTCGAAATACTCGTTGCAGCTCCAAATGTGATTGATACTCATAAATGGTTCTTCAATAAAAATGCAGTATTTTTGGACATGCCTAGCTTAAAATCACCTCAGCTTTGACTGTTTTGCCAACTTTAGATGAGTCATGGGTATTTTTTCCCACCACATTTTTAATCAGCCAGGAAATGAATCACTGGGAAGGTCCCTAGTAATTAGCAAGTTACTGCAAAGATGATACATAAATATGCACCATAGTCTCATAAGCTGTGATGCTGACTGTGCTAATGCTAAGGCATTGCAAACAAT